TGTTATTTTGGAGGGTGTTGGCATCTTACGCAGCACTGGCTCTTCCTTATCCACTTTTAATCTGACCTGCTAAACAACTGCAAGTTTTCCTTCATTCAGTGAGCTTTAGCTAAATAAAACCCCCTACCAATTCTTAATAAAATAATCAGATAAGAAAAGGCATAGTATTAAGATGAATGGTTAATATGTGGAAAATTATTCAAGTCTGAAATATTCTGCCTGCAGTTCTATTAATTTTATCAATGCATATATAGTGCACAATTATGGTATATAAGAATTACATACACCCATGTGCAGTAGACTGCATGATATCTATCAAATCTTTACACTGTAAATAATTTACATTTATTGCCAAGCAGAATCAGAATTTTCCAATCTCAGAGGAAAATAAAGTCTTGTCAGCCCATCATGTTGTCATTATTACTGAATGCCTAGTAACCATTTCCACAAATGTAAAAGTCTAGACATCCTACCTCTTCTTGGATGAGATAAGTTGATTGATTCCTGGAGCCAGTTTGCTCAAGATGCAACTGTCTTTCTCGAACTTGATGTAGCATTTGCTCTGGGTAAGAAGAACAAAGAGAATGCCAGTACTTGCTTGTGCTTTGGGCTAATCTGGAAAGGGTAGAATATTTTATTTTACATTTTATATACCCCCGGCTACTAGGGAGAAAGGAGGCATTTTTCTACTGTGATACTCACAGTGCTTAATTAATACTCACCAGAGCTAAGCCCTGTAGAAAACCACAGATAAGATTTTTTTTGTTCTTGAAAGGGAGAGGCTGACTAATGCCTAAGACCCAAATTGCCATGGGTAACACAGGAAGTATGTGGTTATTTCTGATGAAGATGGTGTGTTAACGTTTTCTCTGTCTGAGGGCTTGAGTTGGTCATTCCAGTCTTTTACTCGGGAGGGACAAACACGTAAAATACTACGAGATAATGTTGGATAGCTGGTCTTCAAATAGGATTAAAAGATACCATTCAGAACATATGAGAGAAAGCTGTTTCAACATGCAAAATGCACAGAACCAGATTGCTTCCGACTGTATTCATCTGCAAATAGTAAATATATATGTAATTCACATTTCCATGGTAAGAGTTTGCACACTGCACAGAGCTTGCATAGCCAATACTTCGTAGGCAAACACTGTTGAAGTAATTCAGGGGGGCGATCAATCCAACTTGTGCCACTTCCCTAATTTGAAAAGCCCGTTGGTAGAGAGTTGCACAAGAAAGCTGGTTTGACACAAAAAGATATGCATTGAACTTGAATATATAGTTTGCCTGTGATACAAGCACTGCCTCTGTAATGCAGATTTCCTCTCTTAAGAAACATTCACTTCAAAGTGTTATGCAAACTACTGCACTCAGCAGCAGCCATAGAAATACACTGCAGCATGTCCCAGCTATTACACACACCTGTCGAGGGCAGGGATTGAAAAAACAAACAGCCAGCAAGTGCTAGGATTGCACTGGTATGATATTTTCTGCCACTTTAAAAATAAAGACCTAGGACAGGGTTGCTGTAATGTCCAACGGAAGCCTTTTGTGAATACCAAGCTATGGCATTTAGGCTGTTAACCTCCTCTCAGCCCAGAAGGAAAGATGAATCTGTTTTCTTTGGATTATCTGAGGTGCCACTACCTGGCAAACCAGAAATGTCTTCCATTTATGCACACTAAAGTGAGCACTAAGCAGTGCATGTCTTTATTAGCTCTGGAAAAGAGCTTTCCTATTCTTGTGTTAGCAAAGGCTAGGATTTATTACACCATAGTGTGGGAAATTAGTCATCCGTGGAGTAGGATATTTTCTCTTTCACATGGTTTCTCCAATTTTTGCCTTGTAAGCCACTAGCACTTCCCTGCATTTTAGATGATGCATTTGCATTTTCAGTTTGTGCATTTCCCTTTCTGGCTTTGCTCTTTATTGGCAGGTAAGAAGGGAATAGATAGGAGAATTAAGGGGAAAGGTGGTGAGCACACCCAAAGCCGCAGCAGAATGGTTTGGGAAGTGGTGTTTTTAGATACTGCCGTGGCATCTGGATACTGGGGAACTAAGTCCATACGTGCGAACTAAACATAGAAATGCCAAGGTACTTATAAAGGGCCCAATTTACAAGTCATGTGTCACTTTTTGCACTGAATAACTGAATTGTGATTGCAGTTAACACCATTTGTGTCTGAGAGAGAAAAGCGAATGTAGTGTCCCTGTTTGCTAGCACTTCAGACTTGGGACTGTAATGTAAAGTATAACATTGGGCAGTGCCTCGCCTAGTCTAATTTATGGCTTTGGAACAGCTTGTTACACACCCGGTGTGGGACTGGGTGATGGGAGTAAAGAACCCCCCACCTTTTCATGTGCCCTAGCAGCAGATTGCCTGGTCTGCAGAGCTTTGCTGCATCAAAAGTAGATTAAATCTTTATTTAAGAATCACAGAATGGTGATAGTGCTTTTAAACAGTAGCTGCTATTAAAATGTCAGCATTACTGTCAGGCACCACCGAGTACCTGAGTTAGCGCTGTTTCCCCTGATATTGAGAATGGAAAATAGACAGGTTGCTACTTAAAGTGAACTACTGTAAATGAGGAGCACAGATTTAATCCTTTCTGATATGGCTTATTATCCATCTGTAAGATTAAAAATGTATGTTGTATTACTTCAGGGGTTGCACTGACCTCTAGATTTCATGCTTCTGGATTTTACTACTTCTTAGGTACCGTTATGTTTTTATTCCACATTTTGGCAATATCAAGGCTTAGTCATATATGTGAAAGAAAACGTAAAGTTACAGATAACATGATAATTGACCATATTATGAAAACTTTAGGGATTTGTCTTGTAAGCATTGTGCAAAATGGCAGATATTGATATCTTAACTAATTATTCAATCAAGGATTGGCAGGTCAGTCAATGGGAACGATGTACAATGGACTAGAATTGATCACACTTCATTTCTCATCAATTGGCAGAGCAAATGGTAGCTCAGATGATAAGTTAGGATCATTGCCAGTCATTTTTGGGCTCATGCCTTCCGTTTTTTCTTTCTTTTTTTTTCTTCCAAACGAGAACCCCCAGACTATTTGATGAAAGTGAATGTCCTCTGATGCTGGTGAATAAAGCAATGCAGAGTTTTGTAGCCTCTAAGGGACACGAGGCTATTTCTGGCTCCATAATTGATGCTGCTGCATAGTCCTATAATCACCTAACCTTATTGAATTGTCCCCATGTGAAGATTTGATTTCAAATTTAGTAATCATTATACATCATTTATTTTCACATAGATTTACAGGTTCATCTGTAAAGTGGCAGAATTTCACCCCAGAGCTCTTTGAATGTTCAGCTCTTCACTTTTACACTTTTTGGATATGCTTGTGACACTTCCAACTTTGGTGATTTACTAGCAATTAGTAGGCTTCCATGACAGATTTATTGTAGCCTTCCAAAGAGTGATGAATCAGGTATGTGGCTACAAAGAAGTGGTTCCCTAGGACTTTTACTTAATACAGGAACACAGAGTTAGATCCCATGAAGAGCTCGGGTGTCTAAAGCAGCACTTAACCCAACTAAAGCTCCACTCCTAAAACTAAATGTAAAATTGCTGTTTAAAAAAAAATCTTTGCTTAGCTGCTGTCTAACCCTGAAAGCACATAAACCAACTCGCTGGTTCCTCATTTGAATTTCAAGTGAACTGGATGCCTACACTTCTTTTTCTGCATCTGACAAAATCTTTGCCTGATTCCTATATAAGGCTGCTCAGGAGCTGGAAATTAGAATTGCTTTCTCCCAAATGTTCTGCCTGGTTCGGCAGAGCCACCGTACATTCATACAGCTGGCCATGCCCCCAGAAACATAGCTGGAAGGGATGGTGCCGTCTACCTGTAGGATCTGTTGCTTCCTATCACCGTTGGCTGCAGGGTAGTTCATACTTGCTATGAGTTTTTTGCGTGCATTCCAGTTTCTGCTGTTGTGCTATTTTGTTCCTGTCAAAAAGGTAACTTACTATTTATCTTTTGGGGTAGGGATTGATTCCTTTGGAAACAGTGAATATTCAAAAGTAATCTAGTTGTGAGAGCACCAAATGTTTTTGCATTAACAAGCTTTCTTTGAAAATTTATTGATCTGTTCTCTTTATTTGCTTTCCCAGATGTCTATTGTTCAATACTGATTGAAAAAATATCTCATTTCTGATGTGAAACCATCCACATCTTAACAAATACACATTGAACCAAAGTAAACTATTTTAATAACTTATTTTTTTAATTAAATGCAAATGTAGCATCCATTGCAGTCTGTTAAAGCAAAGAAAACCCTCAGCGCGTTTAGCATGTTAAAAAGAAGATTTTTGCTGTGTTCACAATGTTATACAATAATTAAAAGGGAAACCAGCTAAGCCTTTAGAAGCTGTCCCCTTCTATAGAATGTAATTAATTTCTGTTTAATTATATTAGGAGGGCTGTAGTGTGATTATTATTTTTGAGGGGTAGAAATCCTGTACTGTTGCTGGTTTTTGTGTTTTGGGAAGCAGAACATATGACAGAAAGGGAATGATTTGAACCACACTCCAGCTGTAATTAAATGCTGACAAGTCAGTGGTGTTGGGCTGCTCGGTGCTTCAAGTGTGGATTTCCAGGACGGAGGCTCCTCCCGGCTGTCCTGTGCTAACAGGAGCAACAGTTTCGCCTGGGAGGATATGTTGTTTTCTCCTTGGATGCTCAAATCTGGGGAATGGACAGGCAGTGCAGACGCTGCCATGCTCATGGTAAAATTCTCACTTCGTTCACACTTGGTTTTAGGATGTCAGGGTGCCAGCTGTCCTCAGGGGCTCTCCCTTGGGAGCGTGGGGACACTTGTGGTCTCGCTGTGCCTGCGACCGGACAGGCCGAGCCAGGATTATGCTCTCATGCCATCTCCTGGCAGATTGTCACCGCGTTTGCCTCTCCTCACTGTCTGTGTCCCTTCTGCCCTGCCCTGTCCTCTGCAGATGTATTGGTCGCAGCATGCCATGGCAGCCCCGTGAGATGGGCGTGAAAGCCAGTGGGGCTGCAGGTGGGCACGGTGGGGGATCGGAGAGGATGGCGCAGGTACAGGGACGCTGTGCAGAGCCCTGCTGGGGGCTCTTCAGGCTGCGGGGGTCAGATGTTACACTTGCCCAGGGTGGACACCAGTAAGGTGGACACGGCTGCTGGGCTCTGAGGGTGTGCCAAGAGTGTGAAGCATCAGGCAGTGCCCGTGAACCACCTGATACACGTGGGTGTGTGGGCAGGGGAAGGCTGGTACCGCCTTGCCCTGCTGCGAGGCATGGGGGTTTGGGCAGCTGCAGGCAGAGTCTCCTGGCCCATTCTGCCGCAGGGTGAAGCAGCCCCTGAGGGCAGCCCAAGGTCCGTGCAGTAAAGACAGGGTGAACCGCCTGGTCACATCTTAGTTGGCTGGAGTGAAGCAGGTACCTCTGCTGAGTAGCTGGTCTTCCTCTCTAATTCTGTGCTGAAAGATGCCGATACAAAAAACTGATGATACTTCAGTGTTTCTCCCCTACAAGAAGAAAATACCCTGCTGTCTCTCCTGAGAGTTGAAACTGTGGCTCTAGAGAGGTCCAGGTTTGTCAAAGTGCTGTTTAGGTGAGTGGGCGGGCATTATTTGGGGCAGTAAAGCTGGAAAGATGACCTACATGTCCAGTGCAGAAAAACTACTTTAGCATATGCCTATTCCTCTGAAGAAAATGTTTGACAGAAATTCATTGACATGAAACAAGAATCCTGGGTTGCAGCCAGGCGTGGTACAGAGATCTGAAAAGCAAGTGCTGGTTACAGAATTCAAAAAGTAATGGTGATTTGAAACAAAGATTGAGATCCTTTGAAAGACCTCTGCAGCCTAGCACTTTAGTCATGCTGCCACATGTTGTCCTTTTCATTCTTCCATGACTACCACCACCACCATCACCCATTTTACTGTAACATTTTAGGCTGAATTTCATATACATTCTGTGTCACTAAAGGAATCAATGCCATCCACCTATCTTCTTTTTTTCAGTTCTTTGTTTTTACCTCTCTTTGCCTCTTGTTCCCATTGTGAAATGGATCCAGGGAGGGATCCAGTGAAATATACTCCCCCCCAACCCAGGAAGAAGTGAGCAGGAATTGTTTAATGTCACTACCAGGTAAAATGCACTTCAAATGACACACACACATCACATCCAAGGAGTATATAGGACTAGTAATGTAAAATAAAAAGCAGATAAAGTGTATAAAGCACCCATAAATCCCCTGGGACTCTGGTACTCTTCATTTCACCTCTTTGCAGAAGGTTTCATCGTTGCTGCTACTCACTAAAAGAGAATTCCTTTTTTTCCTGATCTGTGGTATCTGTTCTTAAACCTACCTCTTGCATCCTCTCTGTGGCACACCCTTCTACACTTCAAATTCCTTGACCAAATGCATTGGGTAACTGTGGATTTAAGTTATATCATTTCCCCAGTTACAGATAAGCTACATCTTTAAGCAAGGAATATTACTGAAGAGTGTTAGTCAAGTGCCTGGGAATCATACTTCACTCAAATCAATTAATGATAAAACATAAATAAAAGCATTTATGTGCCACAGCCACAAGAGATGGCACAGTTATACATGTCTGTGAAACACAGAGACACAGAAATAGACTTAACTCTGCTTCTAGCAAGGTCAACCCCCGTTTCCCTGTAATTAGCTGACTTGCTATCAGCTCTTCCCTAGCTCAGTTTTTCAAGGACTCCCTCTTCTCACTTGCCCTGCAGCTCAGGGTAACTTCCTCAAGACAGACCTTCCTTTCTCCCCAGCCAGCCTTTTTCTCTGGTTCCTCCAGAGATTCCAGTTAAGCTCATCCTTTTCACCCAAACTTATTCACCCCTAATTTATTCAGAACATAGTTTCAACGTTCTGCTATAAATTGAAGAGCATCTCTTTGGAGAAGCAATGCCACATTGGCAGACAGAGTGCCATCGCTTGTACTTGATTGTTAATTAGCCCTTGGTAGGTGCATTTCAGTGCTAAATGTTTCCATCTACCAAGTGTTTAATGTTGTATTAACCTGCACACTGACAAATAGACTCGATACAAACATCCTGATTGGATAAATATGTTTGTTTATTTTTGTCTCCTGATCAGGACTGCAATAATAGTAAACAATTGGAGAGACATATTTGGAATGCTTGAGATCCTTTAAAAAAAAAGACCTGAAGAGCTGAACCCTGAATTCAAAGGATTATTTTTCAAATTCAGTTGCAATCCAAACCAAGTTAAAATTATAGTGATGCACAGTTGCAGATAAAGATACAGATTTTTAAACATCTGTCTTCAAGATGTTTTCTTTTTATCTGGTTTTAGTCCAAAACCAAATATAAAAATATTTTAGCCCAAAACACACTCTCTTTTTCTACTCTACATATGTGCCTGGGAGAAATTCCCAGTGACTTTCTGCATCCTGTAGCTATTGAATGAAATGGACGTTTTGACCAGTTTTGCTGCCAGTACCGCTTTCCAGCATCTGGCTTTAGTGTCAATATGCCAATGATTATGGAGGCTACCTTGGGATCCTGCTGCAGAGGTGGTACAGCTTTGTGTACTGTTGAACCTGATATATCCTCAGAAAAAAACATTTTAAACTCAGTTGCAGTCTCTTCTGGTAAAAAAAAAAAAAAAAAAAAAAGATTATTTCTAATCTGCTTTTGTTCCCTAATTTCTGATGTGCTGTTAACTCAGAGGGGCAGAAGAAAGAGCATACAGAGCAGTCTGGGTTAATATAACATAAGCTGATGAAGATCACATGGAGTTAGCCACATGAAAATCAAAAGGCCTTGCAGAACACTGTGAGGCTGAACATTTTTGACAGTTCTTGAAACAAAGACCTTTGAACAAAATTTTGGAACAGAGACCTTTCAAGGAATGAGGAGCCTCATTTTTTATTTCAGTCTATTTCAAGATAAAGTAATACAAGACAAAATATATTTTAGAGAAAATTCTCTATGGGGTCATTAACTCTTTCTAATCAGACATTCGGTCTTAAATTTCATCTGGCCTGTTCTAGGGACTCTGTGTGCTGTGTTGAAGTTGTGTGCTAAAACTGGGTGCTGTCGGAAAGGTTTGCCTATGTCCTTGCAATTGCTATCACGTTATTGTCTGGTAGTGATAACGGTTGTAGTGGGAGTTTAGACACCTTTGAGCCAAGCAGCGGCACAGAAAGCAACAAGTGCTTGGATTTGAAAACTTAGGCACTGACTTTAAGGATCAGTGATGCTTAGCTGTGAAGCTGGGTTAGATAAAAGAAGAGACCCTGTAAAACTTGAAGCTCGAAAAAAATCTTGCATAGCCATGACAGGTGCAAAGAGAGCAGCTGAGGGCTTATTTCCATGAAGCATTTAAACTAGAAAGAATTGTCAAAACATACCAAAGCAGATGAGAAAAGTTGATGTGAGAACTTTCTGAAGCAAAAATCCAGACTGTCCAATACCTTTTCTATAGACCATTGACATAATTCCTGTTTTTGTGACACTTCAGTGATAACAATTTGCATAGTTAAGACACCGCGCTTGTGGCTTTATTGCATTTTAGTGCAAGTGCTTCGGCTGCAGAACAAAAGTAAAGCAGTTTGATGTAATATGGATGTCTATTTGCACTCCTTTTAAGATAAACATTAGGCAATAACCATTTCTTTAGAGCCTGTGTATTGTTCATATGATTCTCTCTCTTGTGTAGCAGCTCATGTTCATCAACATGATACATAAAAATTCCTGCTTGATTTTCCAGTTCTGTCTTTCATTGAGGATATTCTTTTCTTTCTCTGATTGCTTTTTCTTCTTAGACCATTACTCTAGTTGATAGCTTCAGGTTATCATTGTATCCTATCTCCCTTTCCAATAAGCCTATGATTGATAATAATCTTCCTCATGGGACACATTTATAGGATGCAGGATGGAAACTACTCTCTAAATCTTAGCTTTATATGCGCTGACAATTTGCAAGGCTGCACCTTATATTCACTTCAGGTGGCTGAGGGGAAAACATCAGCACCTGGTAATCATGCTTCCAAATAAGAAGAGAAATGCGCTCCATATACTAAAAGTTATCTTGTTGTTCAGTCTCCTGTGCTGCTTCTGCTTGTATTTTATGTACCTAGAAAGGGCTCGGTTTCTGTAGGTGGTCAATGTCCTGTAACCAAACTCATGCCTTTTCTCTCCAGCGAGAGGAGCCATATTTTAATTAATCTAATGGAAGCTTTGACTAGCAGGCAGTCCCCTGAAAAAGAGTTAATGTGCCGAAAAACACTTCACACAAGCAGAAGACTCTGCATTGACTAATGTGCTTAACAGTACTTTTTCTAAGAAAATTATCCCAGTGAAAGCTTTATGGAGTGCATTTGTTTTTCTGTTTTTCTTTTCATAATATAGCCTCATGGTTTGAAATTGAATTAGGTATGTCTAAGGACGTTTTGAAAATAGAGTTACTATATTTTTACTACAGGTTTTGCAGATGCCCATTGGTATAGTATCATGGAAAACAAAAATACTCTGTTTCTTGGAGGAATAAAACCTAGGGTGCTATGATCACTACTGTGATGAATGCATTTGCTGAAGTTTGGCTATTGCACTGTTTCTATCAATTTCTATCAATTCTATTTATCAAATACCTGAAAGCAGAGTCCAGTTATACAATTAACTCTGAAGAATCAATGGGAAATGAAGATGCTAATGTTTTCACAACATTTGCATATTCAAGCTCCGCAGCCCAAGAAACAAAGAGAAGTAATAAGAAATTCATTTGTTTTATCTTTTATCTTTTTATACAGGCATGCATTTATCTTTATGAACAGACTTGCCAGACCTTTTTGAATTGCAAAGTCTTGCTGCAAATGCTTGTTACTTGGATTTGCATAAGGATTAACAATGTTGGGCAAGTGGTATCTGCTAACCCTTTCTGTTTACTTGTGTGATATCAGTCACTGGGATACAGTTTTCAAGGCAATCAGTGCTTTTAGTTCAGTGGATAATGCAGTTTGTTTTCATGGCAGATTCTCTAACATTCCAAAAGTCTAGTTCAACAAAAATTATCAATGTATCTGCTCAGAAGATTTCCGCCCCCCTTTAAGAGCTCTCTGTACCCGCTAGCATAAGGGGAGAAGATTCCCCCCACCCCCACCCCCCCGCTTTAAGAGCTCTCTGTACCCGCTAGCATAAGGGTTAAAAAGAATGAAAATTTATCAAACTTGAGGGGAAAGTCTGAGCTGGCGTGCATAGTGTAGAAATTAAGCTACACTCCCTGTCTGAACATACGTGTGAAAATGTCATGGTCAAAGCAAAATCATCTCTTGGATCAGAACTTGGCACCACAAAATCAAAACTGCCAGAGACTTGCAGAGGGTGCGTACCACAGCAAGTTGAAGTTGGTTGAAGTTCAAAACTCTTTTCACGCTTTAAGTGTTTCAGTCTGGTTTTTTGTTCCAGCTTTTTACACACAGAAGTGTTACCTAAAATATCCCAATATGCATCTGAATAATTTTTACTGTTCAGAGAAGCCTAGTTTGAGGGCATCATTGCATAGTGTGTCAAGTAGATGGGACTTGAAAAATACCAAAGCAAACTCTTCGTGCTTGTATGCTTTTTCATTTTTAGTTCTTTTCATATTATTATGAAAGCACTGTTCCAACATCAATGTATTACAAAGCAAATATTATCAGGGAACTTGCATTATTTTCGCAGGATCATGTCTTCGAGAGTATTTGCATTGTGGAAATCACTTCTGAAGTGCACAGAAGTGTACTTCACTAATGAGACAGTCTGAGCCCCACAGCTTGCTGCAGTGACTTGCAGTTACTTCACAAATGTGAAGCTTCAGGGTTTCTATTCTACTTTAAGGTGATTGTTGGGAATTTCTCAAAGAAAGGTAGATTTGGCCTTAAAACCGTTAGTCCTCTAGGAAAATTATTAAGGAAGGAGGCACACCGATGGAAACAGCATGTATAGCTTGCTCAGGAGGGATGGGCCTAACGGCAAGAGAAGCTTTATACCTGGAGCAGTGTTGAGTGATGGGCCCACAAGTGCTGGAGCAGCCGTGTATGATGTGCCAGCAGTGGGCTGGGGATGCCTGGAGCTCTGCAGAGGTTGGGGTGCCCACTGTGGCAGGGGGATTGGCCTCGAAGCCTCTCGGAGCGGAGATCTGGGAAGGAGCAGCCAGCCTAGTTGGCGCAGTGGTCCCAAGCCAGCAGCTTGTGAAAAACCTCAGCTGCTCAAGGCTACAAGAAAGTAAAAAGTTAGAACCAAAGCTGCCAGGACAAAATACGGTATTACTGGCAAGGCATTAATTACTCAGTGCATTAATTACCCAGCAATCAAGAACAAGCCATAAGTAATAAATTACATTGAACATGGGATGAACACAGGGTTCATTAACATCACATATGAAATGCCGATTAAGCTCTGTGCGCAAGGCAGGAACATAAAAAGCAAATACTGAGGCGGCATACAGCGAGTGTCACAAGCGAGCTGCTGTGCTTAGGCCAGGCACCACGGGCACTAGGTGGGGGAGACATGAAACTCCTACCAATGAAATTATCTGCTTTATAACAAAAAGAGAAAGCTAGACTGCTCTGGATTAAGCTCACTTTCTCCTGAACCAGTAAGACTGCTTCTCATAGTGTTTATATGTGCTTTTTTAACCATTAATATAGCTCTATGCTGAATTAATCGCATTGAAAATGGAAACAGTTTTGTTTTCCTCTACATCGGTCTTCTTATTTCTACCACTGCTTTTACGTTTGGGAGCTCTTGCAGAGGAGGTTGATGGTCCAGTGATACAGTTCAGGTAGTTAATATAGAGTGAAGAAGCCCTATAGCTTTTCATTCCAGATCAAACAGAAGACAAGGATGCTGGCACTGGCTAACAAAATGCTGTAGAGGTGTTGCAGTGCAAGAGGAAAACATAGCTGTCAAGTACCTTACTGATATTTTGCACTTTCAGTTTCAAATGCTTACTTAAAGGTCATTCATCCAAAAGGAATTTGGATATTCTTTAACCTTTCTCAGTCTCTCTTGCTCTCTCCCAATACACTTTGAAGTCTTCTGTAATATTTCCAGGTGTATCTATGAGGAATGCTGATGTTGATGAACTGACAGGTGGTCTTTTTCTGCTGAACTCACTCAGTAATGAGCTGCTCCTCACTCCAGGTTTTGTTGTTGTTGTTGTTGTTGTTGTTGTTGGCCAGATGATCATTGCCAAGATAAAATACTATTTTTTTTTATTTATAGAAGAGAAACTTTTCACCTACTGATAATGGAGTGATCTGAACCCAGGGGTCTTGAAAGTAGGTCATTAAGTACTCAGTATAGGAAAAAGTGCGATTTCCAGTGCTCCTGATTTTACTGGAGGGAATTTCCTTGTCTTCTAAATCTTGGCTTTAGAATCAAAAGACTTTTGTAAGCAAAAAAAAAAAAAGATGATTTGATTTCATCACAAGGAAAATAATTATATCTAAGCGTAACATATCTTGAATCGGGAATAACATTTTTCCATTGATTTTTTTTTTTTTTTTTTTTTGAGCAATAAAGTGTCTGGAAAAAACATTTTTCTATCATTGGACAACATAGATTTTAAAGTCAATAATAGAGCAGATTGCCTCAAATTGGAAATTACAGAAACAACTGTGGCATTGGTTTTTGTTTCTGTTTGTCTGTTGGTTGGTATTAAACAAATCAGAGGGGTATGATACAGCAGCAGTACTTACCGGGCGATAATCTGTGTAAGCAAGAGTTGCCAGGAGTCAGTCTGGCCCATGATACGTAAGAGCAGTGCAAGGTTGCATTCATTCGTTATGGCCACCGAGGTGCTGTTACGGGGTTTATCAGAACCTGCTCCCTTGGGATAGCCCATCTATCCTGGAAAAGCACCAGTTGATTTTGCCATCTTCTGGGGTTCTGGGGTTCTAGCACTGGGAGCTTGCTGTCTTGTAACCTCTTCTGCCTTTATTTTTAGGTGACTGGAACTGAGAGGTAATTTGAGCAATTTGTTTGGCTGGCGCTTGGCTCATTCACCAAGTGCCCTGAGTATTGATATGACTGAGGTGTTGTAGAAGCAGCCGCATGCTCTGCCGTGTGGTGCAAGGCGCTGTGTATGCAGTTCAGGTACTCAGGAAAATGTGTTTTGACAATGGGTACCACTAAATGTCAGCGGCTTTTACATGCATTCTATGTTACGTTTCAAGCTAATTAATACAGATATCATAAAACTCACCTACCTCTCACCCTAGCCCTTTTCTGGGCGTTTTGAAGCAAGGCTTATGAGGTAAGGGTTGCATCGCCTACCTAAAATATAACTCATATGTCATGAGTTTGCTTTTTTTGATTTGCTTTTTTTTGTCCAAATATCACTGTAATAATTACCGTAACAGAGAGCTTTCTGTGGAGTTAATGGCCTTCTGGCTTAATGGCCCCTGGTTATTCTCAGGCCATCAACTTTTCCCAGCTGGTCATCAATCCCAAAGAACTGCCTTGTGCCTCCATTATTATTGCTTAAGTAGATGACATTTCTGGTGCAACCGCTGCCTCCCAACGAGATGATATTACAGCCAATAGCTTTTCCCCCCCTTGCTTTCAATATTGTCAAAGCATTATGAACAGCTGGTACCAGAATATTGTGGCTGTTGGCTGTGAATTCCTCTGATGATTTTTAGGTGCGAGTTTTGTGGATTTCAACTGGAAGAATCTGAGTGAGGTGACTGAAAATGACTTGCCTGGAGCAGCTACATGGGCTCAGCCTCCATGCATCATTCAAGAAGTAGCTGGGCAATACCTGAATGTTTCAGTCTAAGGACTTTTACCCAGAAGGAAGGGTTTTTCAAACAAGATTTCGGACAGATGTTTTGGGGGTTATTAATGTTTATCATCTAGCAAATGTTGACATCACCTCCCTCACCACCACCACCACCCCACCCCCCCCCTGCAAGTTTCCACAGCTCCACTGATGGGCACCCTTGTCTGCTAACAACTGATGGATTCTCTGGCAGACTTTTAAAAGAAACAAGTAAGTTATATTATAGCTCAGTAGGCCAGAAACCAGCAGAGATTGTTTAGGTGAAAATGTCTTGCTATGTGGATATTCAAACCCATGTGAGTGAACATTGGTGCTGACTACATTTCCTTTAACCTCATTAGCACTTCATCTTGCTTTCCCAAGCATAATGGTGGAGCAGCTAGTTCACCTTACAGCCTTTTGCTAGGTAATTCATCAAAGTGGCAGGTGAAAGCTTAAAGGAAAATGCATGTAAATACTGCATTAGGAGCCTTGGCTCACAAAGGCATGAGCATTTCTACCCATATCATTAGCTCTGGATTACAGTCCATATACATGAAAGACGAGGGACTTTGTTGTTTGAGGAAGATGGAAATACAAAGTTTACTGGTTGTGTCATTATGCAAATTTTATAGTGTAGTTATTTTGTCTTTCATTAAGAAGTACTTCGTCATTTATTAGCTATTCTCACAGAAAAAAAGCTCAGGCTGCAACCACTTACCACCTTCAAAATTAAAAAAAAAAGTTACTTAAGTAAAATACTTCCTTTAAATGCTAGGGGCCAAAACATTTCCAAAAAGGGGCTTGAGATTATCTCAAACCTAGGTTCTGTCTTCTTTTCAGCTTCAGAGTTTTAAGCTGTTCTGCACAGCATACTGATTTAGGCATTTGATTCTTACATACATGTGGTTGATAGTAAGTGTAATTGTATGTCATCCTAACTTCTCCTCATTGCTAGTAAACCTGCCAAGTTTACACCTGGAGACACGCTAGCTAGGTTTGTAATGACCAGCATTGTCATGTTAAGCATTGTAAGGACCAGCAAGCTGCCATGGAGAGCCACAGGGCTTGATCTTGGAGTGCTGCAGCCCATGGTGTGTGGTGGGCTGTCCCTGGCTGGACACCAGGTGCCACCAAGCTGCTCTGTCGCTCCCCTCCTCAGCAGGACAGGGAGGGGGGAGAAAATGAGATGGTGGGGGGAACCTCTTGGGTCAAGATAAAGGCAGTTTACTAAAAGCAAAGCAAAGGCTGTGCACAGAAGCAAAAGGAAAACAAAGATCTTATTCTCTACTTCCCATCAGCAGGCGATGTCCAGCCACTTCCTGGGAAGCAGGGCTTCAGTGTGCATAGCAGTTGCTCCAGAAGACAAACACAGTAAAAAATTACCCATCCCCTTCTTCCTCCTTTCTCCTAGCTTTTATTACTGAGTGGACATCACATGGTATGGAATATTCCTTTGGTCAGTTGCGGTCAGCTGTCCTGGCTGTGGCCCCTCCCAAGATCTTGCCCACTCCCAGCCTCTGTGTGTGTGGGTAATGTTGGAGAGACAGCCCTGATGCTGTGGAGTAGCAGTAGCCAAAATGCTGGTGTGGTACCACCACCTCTCCAGCTACCAGTACAAAGCACAGCGCTATGAGGGCTGCTATGGGGAAAATTAACTCCATCTCAGCCCGACCCAATGCAGGCCCTCATTGCCAAAGATGGGCTTAGGTTGTTAGTGCTCTTCAGAGCCAGTGAATGCTGTAACCGCCTCCGCACGCTACAGGATCGGGGCCACTGCTGTAGGGCAGGAGATGACTGCTCCCAGCATGTTGCATGTCTGAGGTGGAGCCTCTGGGATTAAACAAACCTGTTACTCACCAGGAAGAGTGAGCAAGGTATTGGAATGCCATTCTTTATGGCTAATGATGAAATTAAAATTCTGATAGACAACCTTAGGGAAGAAGATCAGTAGATCAAAATGATCATGAACCAAAATGGCCTTCCAAGGAACTTCAGACCAGTGACCAATGAGTTCAGTTTGTTTGCCTTTTTTTTTTTTTTTCCAGAGAAATTACAAGATACACACTCTCTCTGTTCTTTAATCTGATGTTACTGATCTTAAATATTGCAAGACACTTTCATGGAGGGCCAGAGAGGCACACCTTCCAACAGTCTTTACCTCCCAGTTTACTGTATTGTTAAAATTAGCACTTTGAGGATCCTGTTAACCTTTTGCCCCTTTTTAAGTTCTGGTGCTGAGTAGCAGATAGATACACTTACATACTGCTCTTACTGGTATCTATATTGGTGGCATACTTCAGTAATGTGATTTATAATGCATTTTCATTTTCATGAAAGCTTGTTTTACTCTCCTGATGCCATTAGGTCAGACACTCACTGAACAGGCACCTCCTGTTCCAGTTTGCTGGGTAACTTTTAAAGGTGGCCTGACAAGCTAGAAAAAGTTCAGTGAGCTAACTCAGTCATGTAAAATACACGCAGACATTAATGACCAGCTCTGGCCGCTGAACCACAAAGGAGATACAAGAGCACTGCAGTGGTAATGGCACCAACCTGGAGATGGCCTGGAGGGATTGGACCAAGGTATAACTCTCTTCCTTTAGCAAAATGCCCTGACCCCCAAGGTTGAAAAGCTCTTTACACCTGTGTTTATGAGGACTTACAATTGAATATTTCCTGCAAAAAATTGGAAGAGGAAAAATCAAAAATACTCCAATTATAGCTCCTTTATGGCAAGTGGAAGAAGTACAGTCCTATGCAGCTGGGAACAGTATAGAAGCTGTTGTGATTACTGTGTATGATGCAGCAGTGGAAAGGAGGATTTAAACAGTGGCCTTAACTCCTCAGAGGAACTTTAGGGGCTATACATCTATACCTCATTTTCTCCATCTACAAAATTTACAGGTAATATCTCCCCAGGTATTTGGGAAGACTGCTGGGCAAGATTTACATAAAGTCCTCTTGAGATTTTTGCTGTAAAATATGCCATGTACATACAAAATACAGTTTTGTAGTGAATGGGAAGATGTTTACAGCTAATTTTGAAGTATGTATGTTTTTGCAGCCTTTAAAAATGCACTGCAAGAGTTGTGCACTGGTAACCAGCTCTGGACACCTTCTGGGAAGTAAACAAGGTGACAGAATCGACGAGACAGAGTGTGTAATACGAATGAATGATGCCCCTACTCGAGGTTATGGAAAAGATGTTGGAAACAAAACGAGCCTTCGAGTGATTGCACACTCCAGTATTCAGAGGATTTTGCGAAATCGCAACGAACTCTTAAATATGAGCCACGGTGCTGTGTTTATCTTCTGGGGTCCTAGCAGCTACATGAGGAGAGATGGGAAAGGCTTGGTGTATAATAACCTGCAGCTGATGAATCAGATACTGCCTCAATTAAAAGCATATATGATTTCTCGCCACAAGATGCTTCAATTTGATGACCTGTTTAAACGGGAAACTGGGAAAGACAGGTGAGAACTTATGTGGATACATTTGGGGGATGTCATACGGTAGTAAAATAACGTAGTTTATATATACCAATTTCAGATCTGCTCAGAGAGACCATCACACCCATTAAATCCTCTGCCTCATGAGTTGTAATATGGTCTGACATGCCAAATAACATCACTTGTAACATAAGTAAAAAATACGCATCAAAACAATTTATATGGAGTATTGCCTCATCAACTTAGAATACCAGAACCTGGATGTACTGTTTATACAGCCAAGGAGGCAGGAGCTGTTTAAATCTCACTTCAGGGTAATATACCTGAAAGTTTTTTTACTGATTCTGAAAAATCAGAATGGATAGGTTATGTTTTCTTATAGAGGAAATGCCACCATTCAGTGAATTATAATAGCTGTTTATTGAATTTAAGCATTCTTGGAACATTGCAGCTGTAAAGCTTCTTGTAAAACAAATAAACATTAGTCATACATTAGGTGCTTCAGAACAGTTCATTTTGTATTTCCAACTGGGAAAAGGAAAGTTATTATGATAGTTACATCTTCATGAAACTGTTTATGACTTATAGGCTGATCTTCAAATGAAATTTTTAATAAGTGACCCACTGCAGGACTTGAGCATTTTCACATATAATGTTTGAAAATGGGCATATAAACAAAAGACTTCCTAGCAAGAAATACATTTATTTTTAATGAACTCCTATTTTTTACTTATTAAATATGCTGCTGTTAAAATGGAACAGGGTCCCCACTTAGGTACAAATGAAGAGGTAGGTTTATTGCACAGTAACTCATGGTGAGATTTTCTAGCTTCACAGATACTGTACATACACACCAAAGCCTGGAGCTGGGCTTGATCCTCTTGTGGACAGGGAGGACTTAAGAGCACAGACTTGGTTTTCTGGGCTGCACGACAAAGGCAGCACCAGTGTTGTATCCTCTGAGCTGATGGTGACTATATCTTTGCTTCACATTTGCTGCCTGTGTCTGTCAGACCCCACAGTTTGCTTGCAGAGCTCTGTTCACTTAGAGCAGATCAAACCATGTATCCAAGTTCTTGATTAACTTGCAATAGCACTAGAGCACACAGTAACGTGGTCAGTTTCTTACCATTAAAGCTGCTTTCTGTCCTCAAATTGGTGCTTGTGAGTCTCTGCCAGAGGCTCTGCCACTGCCAGAACGAGAAGGAAGGATAACAAGGGGAGATACCCTGCCAGTTCTGATGGGTAACTGTCTTTTCCAGGTTTGTTCACCCAGAGTAGGGCGAAGTGAGAAGGCGTATTAAGCACTTGAACCCTTCAAGAAAAGCACAAAGGGTTATTTGTGTGCCCAGTATTTACAAAGGCATCAAAGTTAACAAAGCTGTAGTTGCACTGTAACTTGGGCCATCATCAGCCCTAGGGTCAGACCTGCACACAAGGAACTGTCATCTCCTTGCCTGGATTACTCTCCCAGTGTAAGACCACATGCAGTCCCCAGGTTTGAGGAGCAGTTTACCTCCTCTGCTTCAGCCTGGCCAGTTCTGCCACGGGGAGCCAGGGTCCCATGCCTTTCCTGACACTTGCTGTGCAATTCCAGGCAAGCTGCTTTTCCCGGTTCTGCATAACCCGTCTGGAGCAGGAAGCCTATAGCTGTGCGTGTGATGAAAGCACTTCTTTCTCTGCACAGGCACCAGGCTCAGGCTTGGCTCCTGAAATATTCTCAAGGCATTTGAGTCGTTAGTGACATTATAACAAGTTTATAGTGGATGCAGTCATGGGTACCCTGAACTCCCAGTGTGAATCCAGGGCACCTGGATGCTGGCAAAATTCAGCCTCACGAACGGGTCCTATTGCTTTTAAGAAACTGCAG